GCAGGCCTCATTTTCCTCATCTGTAAATGGGAATAATAATTATGTGCACATCAAGATTTTGTGAAGATTAAACTGAGTTAATAGTTTCTATACAGGGCTTTAGCACAGTACTGGCATATAGTGTGAGGTTGTTAGGATTCTTATTCTACTCTCTTGAGCAGAATGCGAGCTATCTAGTTGAGAGGTAGCATAGGGCTAAAAACTGGTCAGTCAAAATTCACTGAGTGAAGGCTCCAGACCAGAGGCCAGGCCTGGGTATTTCTGAGACAAGGCCAGGAGGAGGAGGCCATCAGGATCAGGGTTTGGTGGCCCAAGGTCTGCTGGGATCTAGGACCTCTGGATTCCCACCTACTGTGTGACCTAGGGTGAGTCTTTCCCTCTCTTTGGCCTTGGGTTCCCAGCATAATGTAAATTGAGGGGGTTGGACCCAATGACCAGCAAGGTCCCCAGCAGCCCCGCTGTTTTATGATTTCTAAGCGTCTGAGTGTCAAGTTCAAAGAAAAGAAGGAAGCATCTGGGCTCCCTGAAGTGTTCCTTACGTCTACAGGAACAGGAGCAAGCACTGGGGTTGGAAGTACAGGCCATGCTGAACTGAACTGAGTGGGGGTACCCGCTTCAAAAGCCCGTGATCAGAGGATAGGGATGAACTTGTGTGCAGCTTACAGACATTTCCAAAGCATAAGTGGAAGCCTTGGGAGAAATGTCTGTGAACAATGTGGATCCTCAGAGATGGGGGCTTTTCAAGGGTCTGGACCCAAAGGGCTAGAGAGAGGAGGGGAGACAGGACACAGTTTACCTGGTGTGAGACCCACAATTGACTTGAAACCTGCCTTGTTTCACAGAAGGATTTGAGGGGGCTTACAAGCATGAAGGCAATTCTCCAGGATTAAAATCTGGAACATAGATATGTAGTACATTTTAAATGTATATCCTTTTGACCTAGAGATTCAATTTACTTATTATTATATTTTTATTTGTAGTTAGAAATTATTTCAAACTTACAGAAAAGTTGCCAGAATAGTGCAAAGAACTCTCGCTTCTCCTTCCACCAGATTTGCCAACTGTCAACCTTTTGCTTGTTTCTTTCTCTAATCTATAGGCCTTACTTCAAGTCTTGTTATTTGTCCCAATAATGTCCTTTATAACAATTTTCATTCTGGTCCGAGATCCCAAACGGGATCATGCATTGCATTGTTTTCATGTCTCTTTAGTCTCCTTTGACCTGAAACAGTCTCCTTGCCTCCCTTTGTCTTTTATGACATTTTTGAACAATAAAAACCAGTGGGGGTGTGTCTCGTTTTAGGTCTGTCTGATATTTCCCCATGATTACATATGACTGCTGAACTGATGTGCTGTTTTCCAGTTTAACAGATCAGAAATCACATGATGTTGATGTGTCTCTGGTAAAGAACAAATTTTCAAGACACTTATTAAAGATGGTTAGAAACACTTTATTCAAAGAGTATTGCAATGGGGTTAGAGTGTCACTCACCAGTTTTCCCTACTGTACTACTAGGTTACTATTTACTTTGTAATTAATAAATACCTTGTTGGAACATACTTTGAAACTATGTAAGTATCCTGTTTCCCATCAAACTTTCACCCATTAGTTTCAGTATCCATGAATAATTCTCATCTCAATCAATTACTGTGATGGTTGGGAATGGCGATTTTCTAACTTCATTATTCCTTCTAGTGTAAGGAAGAGTTTTTCTTTAGTATTTATTTATTTAGATAATATTCGTATAGACCTATGTATCCTTATTTCAGTCAGGCTGTAATGTTTTCCTGTGGTTATATGCTTTCATGCTTAAATTGTCCCTGATGTGACTCGTGGAAGTCCCTTCAAGCAGGCTCCTTTGTTCATTTGACATTTTGGCGTAGTCCTTCATTTTCTGGCACAAGTTGTTCCAGGCTCATCTTCTACCTTCCACAGCCTTGGAATGAGCCATATTCCAAGGGCTCCTTTTAGTGGAGAGTGGAATTTAGAACCAGAGACCTGGGAGCTGGCTGTGCTTGTTGCTACCAGGGTGTCATTGTGCAATGATTCAGTCTCTAATTCTAAGACTTTATATTCTACAATATAATTTAACACTTGTGTTTGTGAACAAAGCTGCATATTCAAGGATATTTGTTTTCTTCCCACCCTCATTCCTTCCAGATATGACCATACCATCATCTTATTTTGCCCATGTTACTTCAAAAGCCTCCTCACTGGTCTCCATGTTTCCACAATGGCCCCTCTGCAGTCTCTTTTTCATACAACATGCAGAATAATTTTTTTTAAAGTCTGATCACTATTTCTCCTGCTCATAACCCTCTGCCCCAACCCCCAAAAATAAAGTCCCAAATTCTCAACATGCTTTCAAAGTGCCAAAGGACCTAGTTTCATTTTTAACTTCGTTAACTACCACTTTTTCACTCACTCACAGGAAAGAACACTCCAGCCACAGAGCTGTTGCACCTGCTCTTCTCCCCCCAGTATTCAAATAGCTTATAAAGGTCGTCATTTGTCCCCACTCAAGAGTCACTTCTTTAGAGATGCCTTCCTTAACTATCCTACTGAAAACAGCAATCCATCACTTATCACTGACATTACATCATATAATCGCCCATTTGCTTGTTGTCAATCTATTTTTCTACAGTGTACCTCTACAAGGAAGCTCCATGAGGGCAAGGACTTACTTGGCTTTCTCCTATAGCCCCAGCATCTTGGATACTGTCTGGCATATCATGGGCTCTCAAATGCCTGTTGAGTGAATGAAGACTAACTTTCGCTCCTTGGGCTTTGGCACCCACCATACCTCTGTCTGACTTCCCCCTCACCCTTCCGTTTGCATGGCTAGCTCCTTCATATTCTGTAGATCTCAGCTTAAATGTCACCGCCTCAGAGGAGCCTTCCATAATGATCTTATTCTAAGTTCCACTGGCCCACTTGCATTTTTTATTTCAGCCTCTGTCCCCCTGTACTATTTATAACAACTTCCCTTTATCTATTTTCCTGTTGCCCCATCCCTCTCTCTCCCCACTAAAATGCCAGTTCCATAAGGGCTGGGACTGTCTCATTCACCACTGTATCCCCAGGACCTAGAACAACTTGCTGGCAAATGATAGGATCTCAAGAAATTTGGTGGCTGGACTTTCAAAGGCTAAAAGCTGGAAGGAATCCAAATGTTAAAGAATACTGGGAGGCTATTAAAGAATGAGGTAGCTCCATGTGCCTGGGCATGGAATGATGTCCAAGGCATTCTTAACGTGAAATGCAAGTGGCAGAAACAGCGAGATTCTTCTTGTGTAATTAATACCACGTGTAGAGAAAAAAATAGATTGGACTCCAGTGATCATTTGAGGGTGAGGAATTAGAAAAGACTTTAACTTCCTGTATTTTATACTTCTGTATTACAACCTTTTAAAAAAAAAAATCACTTATATTTGAGCACTTAGTACATGCCAGGCATTGTGGTAAACATTTTACATGCAGGATTTCATGGCATCTTCTTGAAAACCTTATGAGATGTTTTAATATCATCACCTCCTCATTTGCAATGAGGAGGTTAGTTCAGGGACATTAAGTAATTCACCTAAGGTCACACAACAGAACCATCACACTACACTATCCCTTGTGTTTTTGTAATTTAAAAAAAAAGGAAAAGACAATAAGATGACAGTGGAGGTAACAATCTAGGATCCAGGCTTTGCACAAAAGATGCTAAGGAAATTGGGCTCTGAGCTCCCTAGAAACCAGGACAAAGAGAAAACATGATGAGTTCTGAGATCCTTGGTGCTTCAGAGATAAAAGAAAGCCACTGACCAGGACAAACACCTTTCCCAAGCGCTGAGGTTTAAAAGACCTTTTCCATGAAGCTCATAACAGAGCAGTGTACAATCAAGTGGTCTACAGCTTCAGTTGACATAGCTGTATACCTTGGTGGCTGCTGGCCAGTTACAAATGGAAGTTCAGTAAAAGCAATTCCACAAGGAGCCAAATTTATACAGCCTGAGGTGGTCTGGTTAGACCCATAGTTAAAATTACATGTGTGGCCTAACCCTCCGGCAAACTCCCACAATATTACAAATTCAACCTATTACAGACTATGAGCAAGAATCGAGTCAAGAAGTGACATTCATCTTAAACCTCAGCTCTAGTGAATTTTCCAAGTAGGTTGATTGGTTTTATGCTTCTTTTACAAAGAAACTGACTCATAGAAAGCCTAGTTACATGTCTAGGGTATGTCAGCGCAAGCTCTATATCCGTCTTAAATATCCCTTCCCCAGCCACCTGTGCTTCAACAACAGTTTACGCCCTCAGAATCTCTCTGTGGGTGGTGGGTCGCAGGACCCAGGAGGGTGCCATCCTACACACAGCAGGAGAGTGAAGGGGGCTAGGCGCAGCCAGTGAGGTCCACACTTTTTCCGGAGGTCCGCTCTAATCCTTCTCAACTCCCTGTGTCCCCGTCAGGGAAGTAAGGCTCATATTACACAGATGAGGAAACACTGCACCCCCAAACATAAAAATACGATCTCGCAGTATACATTTGACTTTGCTCATTTATTTACTTTCATTACAAGCTGGGGATAGGTGGGTCTCAGCTTGGGGAGTTTGGGAGGTGTGCTAGAGGGAGGAGAAGAGAAAGAGAAAGTAGGGGCTTCTAAGTGGAAGAAGATGGGAAGGAGGAAGGAGAAGGGAACAGGGTCCAGACCCTACTTCCTCCCTACACCGAGACTTCCCAAGCCTAAGTAGAAGAAAGGAGCAACAGGACACCCTCCCAGAGATGTCCTTGATTCCCCCCTCCTCCCATCCCACAATAACCCGAAAGAAATCAAGGAAGAGCAGGAGGCGGGCGGCGGGCAGTCTTGGTAAAAAAAAAAAAAAAAAAAAAAGGAAAAGCAAAAAGAGGTCAGGTGCACCCAGCCCCAAGCAAAGCTGAGGTCTCTCCCCTTGCCAGGGAGGAGAGCCGTGCGCATGCTCCCTCGGGCCGGCCGCCGGCCCTGGGGCGCCCTCAGCCCAGGCCTTTTCTCTTCTTCCGGCTGCCGCGCTCCACCGTTTCTCTGGCGAGGCTGCGGTCGCCGCCGCCGCTGCTGCCGCTGCTGCTGGCAGTCGGGCGCTGCAGAGGCCTCTGCTCGCTGTAATGCGGCTCCCTGACGAGCGGCACGGCCTGAAGCAGGAACTCACCGCCGCGGAAAGTGACGCGCACGTCGGTGCGTGGGTACGTGCCGTACACGCGCCGCAGCTCCCGGCGCACCACGTCCGGTAGCTCTAGGCGCGGGCCTAGCGTGTGCTCCACGTGGCCCCAGCGCAGCTGTGCCTGCAGGCTACTGCCCTCCGGCCACTGCGCCCAGCTCTCCGGCGCGGGTGTCCCTGCCTCAGCGGGCATCTGCAGCGACGGCCCCGAATAGCCGAGCACGGGGAAGGGCTGGCGCAGAGTCGCGACGTAGGCCTGCGGGAAGGCCCACCAGGGGGTCGCGGCCCCCAGGGGTGCGCCCGGGCCGTGGAAACAGTGGTATTCCCGCGGGGCCGTCCAGTCGCCGGTGCTCAGGGCTTGGGGCCAGCTGCAGATATTGTGGGTCTGCACGGGGGACAGCAGTAGGGGGCCGGACAGGTAAGTGTAGGTGAGGGGCTGCAGTGGAGGCCAGACGCTTTCCCCGGGCGCCAGGCCGCTGTATGAGTACATGGCCGGAAGCTCAGGCGGCAGGCGTTTTCACTGAGGCCTGGTCCTGGTCCAGACCTGTAGTGGGAGGGGTGTGTGTGTGGATACACTTGGTTCTTATTAACACCACCCATCCCAGCGGCCTGCTCACCCACCGCTCTGGTTCATAGGATGAGGCCGAGCTAGTCTCCTGGCCTTTGAGAATCCTTCCTAAGGTGTTCAGCTCCTCTCTGTCCCAGGGTTGAGCCTGAAGCCTAACCTCCCAGCACACAATAAGGACCCAGTGCCTTTTCAAGCCCTCAGTCCTGAAATGCTCTTCCACTCACTTATCTCCTCAAGCCGGGGGTAGTTGGTCCTCAGCATTTCCGCGGGGCCAAGGAGGTCCAGAGTGGGGCTCCTCTCCACCACTTTTTAGTTGAGCTGGTCACCTCCATGCTCTGCCTCGGCCACACCTCCCCGTTTCCAGGCAAAGGAAAACATCTTGAGCTGGCCAGGAGCCAGCCAACCTGTGTCTACACTGTATGAGCCAGCTAGTTGAACCCGCAGTAACCTAGATGCTCAGTGGTCAGCGATGCCCTCACCACAGCTTGCTCAGACTCACAGTCAGTAATGGTAAGAGCAAAATTCAGCCCCATGTCTACTTCAGGACATTAGCTTTATTATCAATTCATGCTAAGGCTTCCTTGAAGCTATCATCTTACAGTCCTCCTGCTCTAGAATGTTACATAAGAACTTCTAGTTCTTAATAACCGTGTGCAGTACATGTTGGCATCATTCTCATTTATTTTTATTTGTTTAGAAGATTTTTTTTTTTATTTTTAGAGGGGAAGGGAGGGAGAAAGAGATGTAGAGAAGCACTGATCGGTTGCCTCTTTCCTCTTGCCTGCCCCTTGCTGGGACCTGGCCCACAACCCAGTCATGTGCCCTGACTGGGAATCGAACCAATGACCTTTCAGTTTGCATGAGGGCACCCAACCAGCGGAGCCACACCAGTCAGGGTAATAGCTAAGGAACAAGAGACTCATCCCAGGGTCAGAGTCAGTAAGTAGAACTGGGATTTGAACCCTGATTCTAAAGCCCAGAAGCTAGTTGGGGGAAGCCAGAAAGATGGCTTCATCTAGACAGGGTGGGCCCTGTCTGAGTTCCAGTCCCCTATTACAGGCCACTACCCTCTACCTTTTTCTTCCTCAGTTGGTTGGGCGGTAGTTGCTGGATGATTAAAACTGGTGCCCTCTCTCAGCTGTTGGGCTGCTAGGCCATCATACTTCCCTTCCCCAATCTGTTGACTCGAGCAGCATTACCAGTAACCCCCACAGATTCTCCTAGATTCTTAGCACCCCTCAAAGGCCAGCCACCCTCTGGGAAGGTCCCCTACTCTTACCCTCGCCCTCCTTTCCCCCAAGATATCCTTGGCTTAATCACTGGGAATCTGTGAATATATTACATGGCAAGAGGGGATTAAAGTTGCAATGGTATTAAGGTCATTAATTAGCTGACCTTAAAATAAGGAGATCATCCTTGATTATCTGGGTGGATCCAGTGTAATCTCAAGGATCCTTAAACCTGGAAGAGGGAGACAGAAGAGTTGGAATGATGTAATACGAGAGTCGACTAGCCATTGCTGGTTTTGAAGGTGGAAGGGGGTCAGGAGCCAAGGGATGCAGGCTACCTCTAGAAGCTGGAACATGCAAGAAAATGGATCCTTCCCTAGAGCCTCCAGAAAGGAATGCAGTCTTGCCAACACTTTGATTTTAGTCAGTAAGACCCGTTTTAGACTTCTGACCTCCAGCGCTGAAAAGTAATAAATCTGTATAGTTGTAAGCCACAAAGTTTGTGGTATTGCAATTTGTTACAGCACCAGTAGGAGATTAATATGCCCCTCTACTCCTGTTTATAACTTGGCCCTCTCCAAATCTCTGTACCTGAGGTATGTCCAAGACTACCTGTACACTGACACCCCAGCCTGGAGCTCACTGAGGGACCCTGTGGGACTTGTCAGTTTCTCCACCTGCTACCACTCCCCCATGGGGATCTGGCTGAGACTGGGTGGGAGGTGGGGAGGTTGTGAAACCAAGCTCAAGGCGGAGCCTAGAAAGATGAGAAGCCTTTGCTTTTAAAACTGTTTATTGATTGACTTGAAAGAGAAATGTCATTTTGTTGTTCCTCTTACCAGTGCATTCACTGGTTGCTTCTTGTATGTGCCCTGACTGGGAATCAAACCCTCAGCTTTGGTGTGTTGGTCTAACCAACTGAGCTACTCAGCCAGGGAAGCATACATTTTAACACTGGTCCCTACATGCTTGCTGAAGGCCTTTGCCAGTCTGGGGAGGGAGTTTACAAGCCAGAGGAGAAAAATAAGGACCAAGCTGTGAATTTTTCAGCATTCATTCACCCTGATTCCAGTAACAGCCCCCAGATTTACTGAGATTAAAATGGTTTTAGGGCAGTTGGCTCCATTCCATCATTAAATTATGGGTATAGGGCTAAACCAATCAGCACTGTCATCCCTCTGGCCACAACGATTGGTTTACACTCGATTTGGGCCAATGGCAGCCTAGCCCAGAACTTTGTTCTATCGGGTGGAGGAAAGCGCTCTCTTTCTCCAGGACAGAAATCTGAAAGATCGCAACCTGGGTGGAGAGAGGAAGACCTATCTGAGCATGCAACCATGGAAGTGGAGCCAAGGGACAGAGAGAGAAGTTGGGTCCTGATGACATTGTTTGGATGCTGGATTTTAAAGTCACATAAGCCAACAGTTTTTTTTCTTCTCCAGGGTTTTTTTGTTTTTTGAGATACTGACATACACTGCTGTATACGTTTAAGGGGTAGAGCACAATGACTTGACTTACATATATTATGAAATGGTCACCACAATAATTTTAGTTAATGTCCATCATTTTATTTAGATTAAAAAAAAAAAGGAAAAATTTTTTTGTAATGGGAACTCTTAGGATCTACCCTCTAACAGCTTTCAAATATACCACAGAGCAGTGTTAACTATAGCCATCCTGTCGTCTGTTACATCCCTAGTACTAATGTATCTTCTAACTGGAAGTTTGCACCTTTTGTACCTTTGACCACCTTCATTCAATCCCCTTTTACCACCACTTCCCAGTTAAATACCTTTCTTGCTTAATCTAGTTTGAGTGGCATCTTTTTTTCCTTTCACACAGGGCCAGCTGTGTTTACTTCATGTAACTTTACAGAAGATATATTGAAATGGACATTTTTTAAAAATTATAAAACACCATCACCTTAGTCTTTAGAAAATTAAATATTTGGGTTATTATACAATGGGGCGGAGTCCTCTTGCTTGCATCAACAATACACGCTGCGTGTTCCCCTCCCCCCAGCATTTTATTATGAAAACTTCAAAAACAGTAACCTGAGTAGTTTTTGATCCGTGAACCCCATGATCCCCCTGCCAGAGGCTCTCTTGTCCACAAAGGAGAGAGCTGTCAAGAGGGAGGCCAGTCTCCTCCAAGACTGGCTTCCAGTGAGGCAAACTGACAGACAAAATAGGCACGAGGGAAGGAAGATAGAGACAGGAGCAGATTCACCTGGACTTGATCTAAATAACCGCCTGGCTGGAGAGGGTAAAACCGAGGTGGATAAGTTTTGGGCTTGGCTGCCTAGGTTGGTAGTCAAGACAATCCTGGAGTTAAAAAAAAGAAAGCAAACAAAAAGCTGTAGTCAGCAACTGGAGGTTGAGGAATGGGGAGTTCAGTTGGGACATTTGGGGAGCTGTCCAGCGGCAGGTTTATATTCAGGCGGGAGATGGGAGGTGGGGTAGTCACTAAAGAAAAGGGAGTAGGTGAAGTTATACCAGAGCAGCTGCTGCTCAGCCTGCATCACGCTGTGTCATCATGGCTGTTCATTTACTGGGTTCCACTTACGCCTTTTGAGGGCGGGAATCTTGTTTGTGAAGTCCCCTTTACTCCCTGTAGCTGATGGCCTGACAAGTCTGAGTGAACAAGTGGAAAGAGTATCAAAAACTTGGAGGACCCTCCCTCTGCCTTTAGAAAGCCCTGGGGAAAATGAGAAGGGGACTGAGGAGAAGTTGTTAGCTAGGAGGAGAACATGGTGGGACCTAGATCAGAGAGGTCGGGAGCCAAGGAAGGAGAGAATTTCAAGGAGAGTGTGTATCTATCTGTCCCAGGAACTCTCATACCACTTAAGAAGCCAGGCAGGCAAAGTGACCTTCAGTCACACCCCGTGTCTCCTCCCTGTTAGCTCTGTGCTTGGCAACCAGGAAGAGAAGTCAGATAATTGCAAGGTCTAGCCTTGGTCACAACACAAAACGGTAACTGGTTATATTGTTTGTAAAACCAGAGGGCTCCGGAGCCTCAGAGTGTAACCACGGGGCAGTAAGTGCAATGTAGGGGCCAAAGTCTGTCCTACTGTTTCACATCTAGTTCTAGCCCTTTGGCAGCACCCCCACCCCCAATCCCTGATTCCCCAACTAGATGCCCAGGGAGGGCTAAGTAAAAACTCAGGGTTTGCTTTGAAATAAGGCACGTGCCAGCCAGAGATATAAAGCCAGGAGCACTCCCTTAGTCAATTTATGAAGGCCCTACCGTGCCAGGCTCCGTGCTGCGTGTGGGGTTTCTTGCCCTCTATTCTCACAGCCAGGAATGCACAGATGAGGGTAAGGGTAGAGAAATGGCCACCTTCCTTCTAGTCATGAGGGCTCTCTGGAGCAGGAGGGGTTGCTGAAATTGCTTGGAGTCTAGAAGAGATGGGGGGCAGGGTGTAGCTTAGGAGAGACATAGGAGGTACGAAGAGGGTCTGAAGGGGCAGGAATGGGGGGAGGGAAAATGGGACATGCTGGTGGGAGATGAATGCTAAAGGCAAGGTTCCAGAGATCACTGGGGACTCCCCAAGAACTGGTTGAACATACTCTAGCCCCCGCAACACCAGGGCTCTTGTGTTGGACCATTTGCTAGGGATGGGCCCTTTACCAGGTTGTCAAGAAGGAGGAAGAGAATAATATTCTTGGTGACAACAAGCAATAAAGGCATAAG